TCCTCCTCCTCCTCCTCCTCCTCCTCCTCCCTCTTCATCCTCCTCCCTCTTCCTCTCCAGGGAGGGATGGCAGATTGCTTTTCTCACCGTGCTGCTTGAAATGTCATTGTACTGAAAAGAGTCGGAGGAGTTGGAGGAGGAGGGGATGGAGGAAGAGGAGGATGAGAAAAGTGTAGAAGAGGAGAGACTAAATGTGAGGTCATTCTTTAAAAGGGCAAGTTTTATCATTTTTACACATTTTTATTGTGTCAGGTTGTAACTCACCACATTAATGTTTGTTTTAGTTTTTTAAAGTTGCGAGACCTGTAAGAGAAAGTGTAAAAAAGAGTAAAAAATAATGTATCAAAAGACAAAAGTCACACCACTCAGCTGAGTCTCCCTTCCACCCTTAGTCTGACCGCTTTCTGGGAGACCCTACCAGGGGCTGACGCCTCAAACAACATAGACCCCCAGGATCATGGTGGTACTCAACCCCCTCCAAGGTGGCAATTCTGCAGAGTGGTGGGCTTCCTTCCATTAGGCTGAGCCCAGTCTGAGAGGACGAGGAGCTCAGAGTAGAGCTACTGCTCCTCTCCATAGAAAGGAGTCAGCTGAGGTGGTTCAACTCCTTTCAAAGGTGCTCCAGGCACCTGAGGATTATGTGTCCACTCTGGGAATGACTGGGTCCTCCAGGACAATATGAAAAGTGTTGTTGGGGAGAGGGAGGTCTGGATTTCTCTCCTGGACCTGTGGTCTCCATGACCCAACTGTGGATAAGAAGGAAAGGATGGATGGATGGATGGATGGATGGATGGATGGATGGATGGATGGATGGATGGGAGAAATGTTGGATGGATGATGGATGGAAGAAATGTTGGATGGATGGATGGATGGATGGATGGAAGAAATGTTGGATGGATGATGGATGGAAGAAATGTTGGATGGATGTGTGGAAGAAATGTTGGATGGATGGATGGATGGATGTATGGATGGATGGATGGATGGAAGAAATGTTGGATGGATGGATGGATGGATGTATGGATGGATGGATGGATGGAAGAAATGTTGGATGGATGTGTGGAAGAAATGTTGGATGGATGGATGGATGGATGTATGGATGGATGGATGGATGGAAGAAATGTTGGATGGATGGATGGATGGATGTATGGATGGATGGATGGATGGAAGAAATGTTGGATGGATGGATGGATGGATGTATGGATGGATGGATGGATGGAAGAAATGTTGGATGGATGTGTGGAAGAAATGTTGGATGGATGGATGGATGTATGGATGGATGGATGAATGAATGGATGATGGGTGGATGAGGCGTCTCAAAAATCCTACTTTGTCTTTAAACAAGCTGGTGAGTTCTGGTCCTGTGAGTTCTGGTCTTGTGGGTTCTGGTCTTGTGGGTTCTGGTCTTGTGGGTTCTGGTCTTGTGGGTTCTGGTCTTGTGGGTTCTGGTCCGTACTCTTCCTTCCTGGGTTTTTGCACCTGTCAGCTGCTTCAGCCGGGGCCTGAAGGCCTCTTCCTTCACTTCCATCATGGCGTCCACCAACAGGACCTCTGATGACTGGATGATACAAACTTCATCCTTTCACCTGCAGAGAGAAGACCCTTCATTTCTATCCCACCAGAAGCTGACGTGCCCAGGGACCCTCCAGCTCCAGCTCCGACCCTTGATGTTGTTCCTGGCAGCTGATGGGCCCAGGTGTAAAGATTTACAGTTTCATATTCTAATGAAGTCAAACTAAAAGCTGCTGATCAGTCATTAGTTTGGTTTCAGTAAACACAGGTTTTAATTTATAGTGTAGAAAGAAAAACAGTGCCAGGCTCTGCATAATGATGCATTTATACATTTTATAATTTGAAGAATGGTTTTTCACCAGCAGGACCCTGAGGCCCACTAACCAGGGACTGTCATGGTCCCTAAATCAAGACTAAGAACAAAAGGAAACAGAGCCAGACTCTCTAATCTCTTTGAGATTAATCTGTTCAAACTGGGATTTAACACAGATTTGATTTTATTTCAGCTTTTATTTTGGCTTTTTTTTAGTTTGCTTTATTTTCAGTTTTTTGTCCTGAATTAAATTAAAGCATTTTGTTTTTATCATGAAAAGTGCAAAATAAAAACTTTTTACTTATTTATGTATAAAACTGAACAAGTTGAAATAAGCGCTGAATAAAAATATTTGTTTCCTCCAGCAGGGGGAGATGTGGTCCTGCTCTGTCACACTTTAGAGAAAAAAAAACTCTTTTTTTCTTTCATTCATTTCTTTTTCTTTCACATCTCCTCTTTGTTACCATCACCTCCTCTTCCTCCTCTTCCCCCAGAGAGTCGTACGTTCAGGCGGCAGCAGTTTCTTTGTTTGCAGGATTTTCTCAAAGAACATTCCTTCACTCTGCAGAGCACTCCGTTTATTATTATTATTATTTTTTTATTATTATTACTATTATTATTATTATTACTATTATCAGGTCACATTTACAGAAAACAACAGATGTTGACTGAATTTGGTTCTAATTGAGAACATGTTTAGATATTTATCATATTTTATTCTAAGAAAATTAAAATCACAGAAGCGTTTTTTTCTGTTCATAAAGGTTCTTTAAATATTTATTATAAGATACTGAAAAAAAACTGATGGAATTTTTAAATAAACCTGCTGAAGTTTTCTGTTTCAGACCCTGAGACAAATAATCAAAAATATTCATGCTGTAAGAAACTTTTTTTTCTCTAAAAGCTGACATAGTTATAAAACTTTGTTTTAAAAAGATAAATTATAAATTTGCTTTTATTATGTGGTTTCAGGACATTGTAGGTTGATTTTGTATTTTTGTTGTGTTTTCTTTTTTGCTGTTTTTGTTGGTGAACAGAAAATGTTCTGATGTTATTTTTAATATGTTTAATAATATTCAGTGAGTCTGATTTCAAACTTGATAACAATAACATATTTAAATGTAATAAAAACTTTAATTCAACTAAATTATAAAATCATTTCAATATCAAATAAATAAACTAAATGAATTAAATAAGTTTTAAAAGCGAGATTGTTCAGATAAATTTGTCACATTTTATGTTTGATATAATTAAACTGAAACAGCTGTAAATTGAAAATTTATGATCAAAATTATAATTAGTTATTTGTGTCATGTTAGATTAAAATTAGAAAATGAAAAGAATCTAGTTTGCTAAATAACGATTTAAAACATTTTTTATTTGTGTAACAAAATGCTCAAAATTACCTAAAATAAATCACTTTTGCAATGGAAAAATCCCAAAAGTACGGTATAAATATTAAATTTTCTTTATGAAATCATGAAGATGAAATCATGAGGATGAAATCATGAAGAAGAAATCATGAAGAAGAAATCATGAAGAAGAAATCATGAAGATGAAATCATGAGGATGAAATCATGAAGATGAAATCATGAAGATGAAATCATGAGGATCATTAAACTTCACAGTAAAACTTGTTTTCTGCAGAGACAGAATCACTGCGAGTTTAAAGCAACTGAAACTGAACATTGAAATGAGGTGAACAGTCAGTGTGTGTGTGTGTGTGTGTGTGTGTGTGTGTGTGTGTGTCAGGTGTTTAATACAGGTGTTAGCAGCTGAACGTCACATCAATCTGTCACTCAGAGATGTGTCAGTTCAAACAGAGCTCAGCCAATCAGAGTGCAGCAGGGGGGGATAGGGCGAAGTCACACTAATTTACCTGCTGGAGGTGTTTGACCCCCCCCCCCCACACACACACACACACACACACACAGACACACACACAGTTATGTGGTTGTGATGACATCACGCTGTAACCACTGAATGTGGATCAGCTGGAACACCTGCAGCCACTTCCAGTTTTATCTGTGTGATGTGCACGTGCTCATGCACGTTTTGTTGGTCAACTGAACTCTGTGAAACAATTAAGTTTCTGGACAATCAATAAATAATCTTTAATCCCAGACAGAGAGACGGAGTCTCTGTTCTAAAATAAAGTCTGTAAATATTCTGTCTTTTTTTGGTCTTCATTTAATAAAAAGTTCAAACAGAAGGAGGTGAAAGAAGTGCAGACAGGTTCAACATCAGCTGAGAGGAGGAGAGACTCTGAGTTCCTGCTCCTCCTCAGGGACAGGTTCCAGAGGAGTCCAGTCCCCCTGTGGAGGACGTTCAGTCCAGCAGATGAGGGTCTACGGGACGGATATCGATTGATAAATGGACAAATTTACCTTTTAGTTCAGCTTTCTCCATCACGACAGCTTCAGTGTGCCTAACACAGAACCATCACAAACAATCCATCCAGCAGACTCCTGTTTAGTTACTTCAGCAGCTTGTTTTGGTCCTTCAACAGCTAGAAATCAACAATGAAGCATAAAGTTATCCAAACTATAGACCTTTTCATCTGTGTCTGCTTCTTGACTTCCTGTTCATGAAAGTTACAACAGACTTTGTCACAAAATCTTCAAAATTTATTGGAAACAAGCCTGACTTATTACCAGCACTGTGAACCAATCTCTCACTCTACAGGGACTAAAAACCCTTAAGTACCCGTATAGAAGGGCTGTCAAACTCATTTTCATGGAGGGCCGCATGAGCATGACAACTGTATTTAACGTCCACATTTTGTTTAACTTTAACTGAACACAGAAAAGTTCCTCGTCTCTTCATTTCGTTTCGATGCTACAAAAAACAATAACTGAGCTCTGCCTGGTATTTCCTGCATATAAACAGTGTTGTAACATCTTATAAACACTGAAAAGTACTACGAGTACGGCTGACTAAACATGAAATAAATACTACAGAAATACTACTAAAAGTAAAATAAATGAGTTTTACTTACTGTTGAGTTGTGGTGAGCAGCTGCCGCCTTGAATTCTGAACTTTCCCACTTCACAACAGAGATTTCCCACTGGAGGATCGTTCCAGTGGGAATTTACAACTTGCAAGTAGGAAATTCCCACTTCCCAATACAATGGGACAATTGCAAAAATAGCCAAGTAGGGGTCTCTGCAGAACGTGTTGTCCTGTGGGCGGAGACGGCCCAAATCGTCAATGGCCAAGGTCTTAATGTGGGCGGAGATGTCCCTGCTTGTGATTGGCGGAGGTCTTGATGTGGGCGGAGACGGCCCAAGACATGTGATTGGTCGGATTGACGGTGAGGTATGAGGGGGCTGGAGGCAGCGGGGAGTAGCTTGGTTGAGTCAGGCAGGAAGTAACTTTTTTTTAGATTAATTTTAGTCATAACTTGAGAAAGGAAAGTGCTAGCTGCACAAAATTTGAACGTCGTACATGTGAAAGGATGTGTAACAATATGGCTTGGTTAAAACATCCCTAACCAGCCTGTAAAAAAATAATGATTTTTAGCTATCTTTTTAGAGGATGGTTAGGGATGTTTCAACCAAGCCATATTGCTACACATCCTTTCACATGTGCGACGTTCAAATTTCGTGCAGCTAGCACTTTCCTTTCTCAAGTTATGACTAAAATTAATCTTTAAAAACATGATGCTTCCTGCCTGACTCGATCAAACTACTCCCCGCTGCCCCCAGCTTCCTCAAATCCCACCGTCAATCCGAACAATCACGTCTCTTGGGCCATCTCTGCCCACATCGAAACCTCCGCTAATCATGAGTAGGGCCGTCTCCGCCCACAGGACAAAACCTACTGCGGAGACCCCTTACTCAAAATAGCTGGCAAAAATGCAGTGAAATGGAGATTTTACACTGTGAATTGCTACTTTTGAAACCTGTGCAGCTCCACCTGGTGGTGGGAGGCCATCATTTCATGAGTAAAATATTCAACATGCATTATGGGAGATGTAGTTTATGATCGATGCTGGCTTTAAAGCAGGTTGTTTTAAGACATTAATACATCTTTGAAAGTCTTGTGGGCCACATGAAATGCCAAAATATCTCTGAATCTAAATGTTATACTCAGTCCAGGACTTGGAGTCAGTCAGAGGAGAGTTGTATGGTTTTAATTAGAACTGATCTTCTGGACCTTTTTAAATGAAGGGAGCACCAGGGTCTGCTGGTCCAAAGGCTCTGGTCCTGACCTTCCAACAAACAGTTTTGACTTTAGGATGAGGACAGGTAGAATTTGGATTAGAACTTTGTTCTGATGTCTCATCTTCATTAATCTGACCAGGCAATGATTTTCACTGTCCAGGTGTACCTGGACTGGTCTACCTGTGCAGGTCTGGAGAAACTCACAGGCTGAACACTCTGCAGGTGTCCCACGAAAACGTCACACAACAATGATGCACCTGGTGCTGTGTCCTCCCCAGGCAATAAACATACCTGACCGTCCAGTTGTGATGGCTTTCAGACCACGCCCCCTTTTTCTTTGCTCAGCTCTGATTGGGCGACGGTTTCTTCACGCTAAAATGAAAACATCTTGAAGACAAATGAAGTGACATTTGTTCAGAAAACAGCTCGGATCACGCTGCCGCCACTTTACCATCACAATATACTGATACTGACATGCACACACACACACACACACACACACACACACACACACACACACACACACACACACACACACACACACTACAGGCTTTCAAAAACACTCCATAATAATTTATCCTGAATAAAATATTGATTTGCTTTAATATTTAGTTTAGCTTTTAAGAGACTTCAACTCAGCCCACCCAGCTACAACACATGTGTGCACGCACACACACACACACACACACACACACGCACACGCACACACACCGATGCTCATTTTAAATTTTAAAAGACGACAAAATGAAAACCCTGAAAGCTGTTTAACTTTTTAACGCGAGCTGAAAACCAAAAATGCTTCAAGCGTATCGTCGCCATCTATCCGTGTTAAACCGTGCATGTGTTGATCTGAGCGTGCACGTGTTAATCTGAGCGTACACGTGTTGTGGCGAGGCCCGTCACCCGTCTGACGCTTTAAATGGACGACAGAGTGGAAACTGAACTGGCAGCGTTCATATTTATTTCATCTCAGACATCCTCTCCGGTTGGAGCTTCGTGTCTTTAATGAAATAAACATGAACGCCAACATTTGTGCACATTAACATTTACAGCATTCATCCTCTCCATAAATATAGATCTCACGCTCAGACGCAGAGCGACAGTAAATGTGTCTCTTTGTGCTGCTGAAAGCTTCTTTAAAGCTCACTGACACATTTTTATTGAGTCTCTCTGTGACTCATTAATGTGGAAATTCGCTGCACGGAGACCAGAGCCGGGCTTTATTCTTGTCGGCAGCCAGACTCAGTTTGGTTCCGAGAGACACAAAAAACAAATTACATAAATCAAAGTGCAGTAAAGCAACAATAAGGGCCAACATCTGCACAAATTGGAGAGACGTGTCGGACGCTCGGAGGCCGCAGCGCATCATAACTCCCAGCAGACTGGACTCCATCCATCAACTGGGCCCGCTGCAGTCCTGCTCAGGGGGGTCTCCCTCCAACAGTTAAAGTATGCTGGGTGGGCAGGTCACTGCTCCCTCATACAGACAAACATCCATGAGGACATTTAGACTCTCCAGTTGACCAATGACAACTAATCCACACAGACAGGAGGAGGACATATACTCAAAACAACACCTGAGGAGCACACAGGTGGGAAATCAAACCAGGGTAGATCCTCTGCTGATGGTTCACAGGTGGATGGACTCATTAGTAACGTAAATCAAAAGAAACTGGAATCAAAATAAAAACTTAAGAACAAATGTGACCCATCATATCAAATTAGGTCAAAACATCCTAATCACATTTTCAGATTTGTGGCTTTAAAAGCTATTTTGATACCTGGATCATTCTGGTAGCATAAGTGGATCCAGAGATGACTTCATGTGTCTCGTTAATTATGATGATACATTAATATTTTGGTCTGAATCCTAATTTTATGTTATTTTAATGAGGAAGTTTTGACGTCATTATAAAGAGGAAACCTCAAACTGTATCTTATTATTGAGATTTCCCAGCTGGGAAGAAACTAAACCTTTGCAACAGGAAAAAGCTCAACATTTTAAAAAGGGGCAATATTATGTGTTTCTCAGGCATATATTTAAATACTGTACCATAATAAAGTATCTATGTCACTTTTAGCTGTTATTAAAATGCTGTTTTTATGTTTAAATAGAAAATAAACTTTTCTTCTCATCACTTCCTCTTCTAAACGCCTTGAAATTGGCCTCTGTCTCTTTAAGAACCTCCTTCTGCTTCAGCTGTCCCGTTCAGTGCCGGGTGGGGGTGGGGGTGGGGGTTTCGCGCCATGATGCAGTTTACTTGGCATCTGAAAATACATTTCCTCAAAGGTATTTTGAATCTGAAAAGAGCTTCACTGAGTGAGAAGTACTGTTAAGAGCAGCAGACAGTTAAGTTTCACTTTCACTTTGCTCTTTTACTGCTGAGAGCCTGCAGGAGTCATGGGCGGGGTGTGTGGGGAGTGGGAGGGGGTGCACTCCGCCATGAGGAAGTTCAGCTTAAAGACACGTCCCAGGGGTGTTTCTGGTCCCAAAAGGCGTTTTGCTCCTCAGCATGGCTTCATAATAACGCTGCAGGATTTCTCAAACATGCATGAATGAGTCAGAGCAAGGCTTTGGGCCTGTTTTTTATGAGAATAACGTTATAACATGATATAAACTAAAAAAAGATGATTTTACATGATATTGTCCCTTTAAGGCGTTTTTCCTAAAAATCAGGTTTTCTTTGCTACTGCTTAAAAGGTGCTTTAAAATTTTTGTTAGGATTATACTTCAGACAGTTCATTCAAATGATACATTGATAAGGCATTTATTCATTATACTTTGATAAAACACAATTTTTGCAAACATTTTAATTAAAACACTACATCTGCCTGTTTCTCCACTACTTTTTAGATTTAATCCTCTTTTCGATATGATGGGTCACAAATATCTCAGATTAATACGGGGCAGCAAGTATAACATTAAATGTAAAAAAAAAAAAGGTCATAAACACATTTTTATTATTTAGTTCACTTTCTGACATTTTATTTCTTTTTAGCTCACTCTTTTTAAACTTTACTAATTTATATTAAATGTTAAATTTAAACTTTAGGTCTAACTGGAAAAGTTAGGTCTTAAATGTTGAAATTCACACTGAAGTGTTTCAGAATGGAACGTAGCCTTTGCTGTTGATGCTCTGCTCTTTTTATGATGTCATCATCCTGCGACAAAAGCAACCGCTGCTAACCCTGCTAATGCTGCTAATGCTGCTAACTCAGCTAAAGCTGCTAACCCTGCTAACTCTGCTAATGCTTCTCTTCAAGACATAGAACTTGATGTTTTGACCAGTGACCGGTGTTTGAGCTGCACTTCAAATTGTCGGACCACAAGTACCATCCATGTGGGTAACAGTACCAGGTACCAGAATCGAATCGGGTCAAGCTGTACAGAAAGAAAAAGAATGTTTAATGTGTTCATCTCTGCAGCAGAGCTTCCTTCTCCTCCTCCTCACCTCCTGATACATGATTACACCGCTACTGATGGTGTTGCCATGGCGATAATTAACACTAATCACCAGAGGATTGTTGTCACCATGGCAACGGCAGGAGCAGTGAAGTTGTGGGATGGGATGGAGGGGGAGGTCCATTTTAAGACAGTGGTCACCAGGGAGAGGGGGAGGAGGTGTTTAATATTCAGAGAATTAGAGCTGCAGGAGGAAACGAGGAGGGGGGGTGGGTCGTTTAAATCTTCCTCTGTTTGCTGTTAGAAGGTGCCGGACATCTTTTATTCTTCTGATTAGTCCTGATTAATCAATAAAATAAATCAGGAAATGATCACTTCCAACAGAAAACTGCTTCCAAAGAGAAAGTTTTTATTTTTAAGCCACCGAAATACTGTTTTTATTTTACTAAATGTCACAAAATAAAAATAAGTCATTTTACACCAAAGTCTGAAAGACTGTGGATCTGGGCGGAGTCAGAAAGTAGGCGGGGTCAGACATAAAATGGGTGTGGTCAAAGCTTGTCGGAACGTGTTAATATGAGGCTTGAAACATTGGGAGTGGTTAACTTTAGAGTTTAGCATCTGGGGTTGGTTAATTTTCAGAG